GTAATTCTATGGATATCTAACGCGTAGTAATCCAGCGTGTGGATATCTAACGCGTAGTAATCCAGCGTGTGGATATCTAACGCGTAGTAATCCAGCGTGTGGATATCTAACGCGTAGTAATCCAGCGCGTGGATATTCAACGCGTAGTAGTCCAACGCGTAGTAATGCAACGCGTGGTAATTCTTAGCGTAGATATCTAACGCGTAGTAATCTAACGCGTAGTTAACCAACGCGTAGTTAACCAACGCGTAATAATCCAACGCGTAATAATCCTCGCGCGCTGATTGGTCCGCGTTTTTCCGTAATAATCCAAAAACGAAGCATCAAACCCCATTTTTGCAAAGGGAAATCTTATTCAGAATCGTGTCAGCTACCCCCCATTTCAGGGACCACTAATTATGAGACATCCTATATAATAATAATTTTGAAGAGTGAATTCGAAATATTCCACTGATCTTACATACATTAAATTTCACTTTCATATTCAATGATAAAATAATCGTCACCGACATATTTATAAAATTAATCAATATATGTCTGACCACATACGTCAGTTTCTACTGTACATATCAAAATATCAATCAAATAATTTAATCTCGAAATTTAAAGAGAAATCCTTACAAAGGTACGTACCTAAATTTAAAACCAATAGCGTCAGAGCAAAATGTTGTATCGTCAAGATAACGTTTGGTTTAGCGCCCCAACCACCCCATGAAACTTCCCCGCTCACGTTGGGGTACACATACAGGCACTTCGAGGTCGTCGTGTACAAAGGGCACAGAGTAAAAAAGGAAATACACTGCGATAAAACTATGGTTACGATGGTCGGTAAGAATTTACTACCGTAACACCACAGCACGAACAACGCGATCTACAAAATAATCAAAGATCATTTACGGAGAAATTTTTGAAAAATGTTAAATATTCTTCTCTTTACCTGTCCATTTATGGTGCACTGATTTTTACCGGTTGCACGTTGCATTATGGTAGAATCCATAGGTGCGGCGATCAGTGATATGGATAACATTGGAATGATTAAACAACTGAGCCATAAGACTTGATCGACGGAAAATAGGGGTGGTAGTAAGAGGAAGGTGGAGAGAGCTTGAGTGATGGACAGAGTCACTGTGCAACACAGCCAAAATTGCACGCAGTTCCATAGATATGTCATGTAATGGCGGGCCTAAATGCGAAACAGATTATACGTTTGCAAATGTTGGACAAATATGGAAGTACTGGGTGATTTGCAATTTAACAGGTTGGAACGTTTGAAGTCTACATTGTAATTAATCTTGATTTAAACAATGCAGACTTTGAGGAGAGCATACATTATGATAAACTTGTGGGCGGTCATTTTACCAGTTTGGTCCTAATTTTTAACTTTAGTTCTTCCTTGCACTTGGAAGAATTTTGTCACATGTCAAAATTTTTCGTTTGAAAATTTCAATGAATAGTTTGAATTTTAATTTCCACTTCACCATGTGAAACACTGTGTTCCACTATATTCATCATTATAGATTTAATTAAAATTTCAAATTGTAATAAACTCCATCAATGGTCAAAGAGCAAAGAGTTAAATAACTAAAAGAAATTTACCTCCATGATCAAATGAAAGATGGCGATGGGATCCTCCCTCTTCACACTCAACGAGCAAGCAATAGAGTTCAACGCCCTGCTCAAATCCACCGGAGAGGGTCCCTGATTGTCCCTCGTCGACAGCAGCACCGGAACCCTCTGGCAAACTTGAGGATACAAAGGTTCCACCGCCACCCTGTAACCACCACTCACCTGAACATCCACCAATTCAAAACATCGATACATCAATTCTATCAAAATGGAGTACGTCGACGTTCCCCGTCTAAAGCACGACAAACCCAAATCCCTATTCTGCGATAAATATCTGCAGCCACCAAGAAGGAGATCCTTCCTACACAACAGACCCTTCAAGAAGCCAACCTTAAAAATAGAGTCCGACACAACGTACAGTTTGTCTTACTTTCCTCACAAGGACTCCTGCTGTAAATTTCATTATGGGGCGCACGAGAAGGTGCCAAGGGTGAAACCAGGGAAGTTCGATTTTGAAACAACGTACAAACTTTCGTATCAGTTCTCAAAATTAGTAAAAACTAAAATGTACGTTCCCAAGTCGTGTTTGTCTATTAAGGGGTCACACGATATGATGACCACTCATGCGTTGTCGTATGTGAACCCTGGATACTCCAGAGCCAAAATTTGTGAACCGTATAGAGGGAAGGGATGTCAGCTGCCTATGGATAGCAAGACGGTGACCAAAGAGTCTTATCAGGGTTTTGGAGCCGTTAAAGTTCGGAGACCAGCGAAACCTGAAGTTTGGAGGACTAAGTTCAAGAATGATTATCAGACTACCAATAAGATGTCTTATCAGTATACAGGACCTGTGAAGAGAAGTATACGCGTGGGACGTTATCGACCGACTATTTCTTCGAAAATTGAGGGTGACACGGTGTATAACACGAGCTATCAGGTTCCTGGGAGATTTGTGAACGGGGGTTGTGCGTAAAACGCAATTGATAGAAGTTGGTTAATTTTTTAGTGGAAGCTTGTTTTTTTGATGGATGTATTAGTTTAATATTTGTGTATTGATATATGATTTTGTAATAAATGTATTATTTAATCTGGTGGAGTTTTATTGGGGGATTTGGTTGAGCTTTTGTTGAATGTTTTTGTTGAGATAAAGGGATTAGATTTGAAGGGGGAATTGCGAGGTTGGGGGAATGAATATGGAGGGATTTGGGGAATTAGGAGGTTGGGAATTTGGAGAGGTGGAAATTTACAAATTTTGGAATTTGGGGGTTTTTAAGTGGGATGTGGGAATTTGGGGATTTGGAAATTTGAGGGATTTTGAATTTGGGGAATTTTGAAGTCTAGGGAATTTTTATACTTAGGGAATTTGGGGTTTGGGGGATTTTGAAATTTAGGCAATTTTGGAATTTGAGGAATTTGGAATTTGAGGAATTTGGAATTTGAGGAATTTGGAATTTGAGGAATTTGAAATTTGAAGAATTTGGAATTTGAAAAATTAGAAATTGGGGGATTTGGAATTTGAGGAATTTGGAATTTGAAAAATTAGAAATTGGGGGATTTGGAATTTGAAGAATTTGGAATTCGAAAATTTAGAAATTGGGGAATTTGAAAATTAGGGGAATTTGGAATTTGAAAATGTGAAAATTTAAAAATGCAGAGATCTGAAAATTTAAACACTCGAAAATTTGAAAAATTTAAAAACTTGAAAATTTAGAAATTTCCCAAACTTGTTAATCAAAAAGTGAAAGTATACTTACATATAGATAAAGATATAAATATCGGATAAAATTGATCGAGTATGAAATCAAGTATTACGCGAGACTTTCATCGTGACTTTCAGATTGCTAAGAATGATATAACGATTGATTAATTACCCCGCATCGGCTTGCATGAAGATCGGCATGTTTTCTGCATTAGCTGAAGAGCCAAGTACACAAACAACTTCTCCATAATCCTGCATGATGTGCAACATTTCTCTTGTAACAGCTGTGTTGCAGTCCGTGAATAAGGACACCAAAAGAGGCACGTTGTCTATCAGTTCTATGTGTGGACGAATCTTATCGATACCTCGAGGTAGTTTTGCCTGGAAAGTGCATAAAATTTATTAGATTTTTGTTAGAAATTTATTAGGGATTTATTGAATTTTTATTAGATTTTTATTGGATTTTTATATCAAAACAAAGTATTACACAACAACAATTATGACTCTTGATTAAGAACTCTTTTATCAAAATATCTTGCAAAAATAAAAACAAGATATCTGTTCTTATGCACTCTGAAAAATACGTTACAAAAATATTGATTTTATCATAATCAAATAAAATGAAATTATATAAATAATCTAGATATATCTGTACAGTCACATATCTCTACATTGATATATTTTTACTACTCTCAAATCCCAATATCTCAATTCCAACGCTCCCAGATCCCAGTCCCTAAATTCCAATACTCTCAAATTTTAATATCTCTAAGTCCCAATATTCTTAAACTTTAATATCTCTAAATACCAGTGCTTCTACATCCCAACATCTCCCAATACTAAACTTTAATACCTCTAAATCATAATCACAAGTATACCTAAATTACAACACACCAAACTACCAATATCCATAATGTCCAATACTTCCGTATCCAAATATCAAGTACCAATATTACATCACAACAATAAAACCTTCCAAATTCATCCTCCTTTTCAACTTACTCTATTCGATAAATCAAAGTTCACAGGAGCACTCTGTTCCGTGCTGTCTGTAAGGCAGCTCAAAGATCTCCACGCTTCTTGACCAGACCCCAAATCCACACTTTGCACCAGAACACTGTCTTCGCTTCTCACTGTGTCCTCCCTGTGAATGTCTTTCGCTCATCAAATTTACCCTTTATCTATTATCATAAAAGCGTAAAGCAATTCCTTAAGCACCATTTACAGTGTAAATAGTCCTTAGTGTAATTAGCAACCAAGGTCTAGCCCACTAAGAAAATGGAAAACATGAACGAAAAACAATTACGAGAAGTGCGATGATCCTTTCGTGATCCTCTGTACTAGTTGACTTAGACTGCCATGCAAATTCAGAATAAAATTATAAAAACAGTTTCGAGATGATGGAGTTTGAAGCAGAAGTGTACGAACCTGTGGCTCATGGCACTTTTCACTTGTGACGCCCCTGTGTCGTTCCATTCTGTAGTCTCGTCGTCGAATTTCACGGTGGAGAAGTCCGTGTTTATGGCACTTGGGGCTGACATACTCATCGCACGGCTGTTGTCCAGGTTCGTGCTATAATGTGACACAGATCATCGTGTCAGATCGTCGTTTGTTACTAGGTTGCTCATGCATAAGAGTCTTCGAACACAAACACATCGATGCAGCATATTTATGCAGCAGAAATGTTCGAGTAGCATGCTCTCAATGTCTTTTCTTGTTTCGACGATTTTTACGTCTAACCCTTTGAATACTATTTACTTGCAGATTGGAAGGTTTGGCATTTGTTGCTTTGTGATTGGGGCCTTGGTGGATTTTTGAGCTTTTGGGAGTTTTGAATTATGGGAGTAGGAAAGTTTTGGAGTATTGGATGCTTGAGAGTTTAGGGTTTTGGGGTTTTGGGATTTTGAGAGTGTGGGACTTTGGGAGCATAGGACCTTGCAATTTTGGAATTGTAAGAGCTTGAGACTTTGGGAGCGTAGGACTTTGCAATTTTGGGATTATAAGAGTTTTGAACTTTGAGAGTATAGAACTTTGCAGTTTTGGGACTATGAGTATTAGGGACTTTACATTCTTCAGAACTTGAGAATTTGAGAAGAGAAACTGGAAGTTTGAGAATTAGGAGTTTTAGAATTCTAAAATGTTTGGTATTGCGGTAGAACTTTCTGCAACTTTAGGACCTTCAGGCAATTTTGGGACTTTAAAACCTTGAGAGTTTGGGACTCTATCTCAAAATTTTCAACTAAAATTTGCCAAACTTTGACTTCATTACATTACAACTTAAAAAAAGAAACAAATTTGATAACATCCTCATTCCCCATCACCAAGTCCTTAACGTTCCACTACAACCCTTATTGAACCCAACGAATCCTCTACCTTTAATTACTAAAACATATACTAAATATACTATTACCAAAACATATATAAAGTATACTATCAATTACTAAACCATGTACAAAACATATTTATCTCAAAGCCATATCTGATCTATCAATAAAATCCAAAGGGTTAAACATCGTCTCGAGAAGCGAAAGCAGATTTGTCAATCGAAACTCGATACGTGTGATAAATAACGATGAATGTATTATAGTGTAATAAATTTCATAAAATCGGTGTGATAGAAGGATAGTATGTAACATACCGAGGAGAGACACGATTAAGCAAGTGGCTGGCCTCATCCATGCAGGAGTAATTATGCTGATGAGATTGGGCCGAGGGAGTGGGTGAGGACATGGCTGCTGCCTGGCTCACCCACCATCCCACTGGACTCTCGGACCTAATATTGGCGTGTTAGTTACATACATTTATTCGTGTATATTATGTATGCCATGATAAATAATGAGATATTAACGCATGTGCACAGAATCGTTTGTTAAGTGTACGAGAATAAATTGAACCGTGTGTCTGCTAATGAACAAGCTTTAAACTAGAGAAATTTAAAACACGATTAACAACTACTTGCCATCAAAACGAAACCTCTTATGGGTCAACATCGAGCACCAATTACTCTAAGCATTTTTGGGACTACTGAAAATTAATGTACTCTGGTCCTTGGTTTATCTTCTTGTATATAGGAGGAACAAGAACAGTATTTGAATTTGAAAAATGTATAGAAATACGACTTGATAATTCCAGGATTTTTAAACTGAAAAGCAATGTTTTATACTTTCAAAGATATTTGAACCTAGTCCTAGATGTATTATTTTTATTATAACAAAAGGATTTATTTGCTCGATAAAGTTGTGTTGAATATCTATACAAGCATCGCAGCCCCTTTTTCCAAAAAAGATGCTTGTAGAAACAAATATTAAGTACTTTCTGAGAAAGTATGACAAACTATTGCTTTTGGCTTCAAATTACTTACAAAGAATTACAAAGTCATATTTTTACACATTTTTGCAAACTGTCCTTGTCTTCTGACCAATACACTGTACGATAAACAGGGATCCTAGAGCGTATCAATTTTCTAGAGGTCCAAAAATCATACTTAAAGTAATCGGTGCTCAATCTCAACCCTCGATGATCTAATTTTTAAGGTTGAACAATATAACAAAGACATAATAAAAAAAGACTTAAACATAAAGACAGAGAGGAGGGAAGAAAGAAAGATAGCATTCTGTTCAGAACTAAGTAACACGATAATTACAAGAAAGAAAGATAAGGAAAGAAAACAGCGTAACGAATAAACATGCAAATTAGTAACAGTATTGAAAGAAAGAGGTATAGACAAACATATACGATGGGGTCATGTGTGGATATCTCTCCAGCCATTGCTGTCTCCTGTAACGTACATGCATATTTTACATTCGCATCCACAAGTTATGACGAGTAAGCTAAGTTAAACAAGATTTTGTATCAGTTAACATCGTTTTATTTAAATGTACAAGATATTAGAAGAAGAAAAAGAGACACTGAAGAACGACACGTATCGACAAAAATTAAATGACGAACAAGTTTTAACACCAACAACATACATAAGAGCGTAACACGATTTTTGTGTTCGGTGTGGATCGAACACTGGTTGTGTGGTAGGCTTTCGTGAGGAGGCTATATATAGAGAGGATTCTTTGTGCCTGGTATGACTTGACATTTGGGAAGTAGGTACTTTTGTGGTTTAGAGACTTAAGGATTTGGTGATTTGGAGTTTAGGAAGTTTAGGGATTTGGAGATTTGGAAATGTGAGAGTTTGGGGAGTTGCAGATTTGGTAATGTGAGAATTTGGGGGATTATAAATTTGGGGATTTGAGGATTAGCTAATGTGAGAATTTGGAGGATAACAAATTTGGGGATTTGAGAATTAGCTAATGTGAGAATTTGGAAATCTAGGAATTTGGTAATGCGAGGATTTGGAAAGTTCAGAGATTTGGCAATGGGGGACCTACACATACAGTGATTTGAGGGTTTGGCAATCTAAGAACTTGCAAATTTGGAAATTTGGAGAACCACAAAAATTCATAGAATCCAAAAACCAGATCAAAAATCAAAAACCTAAAAAACCAGAGGATTGAAGTCCCAAAAAATTCTCTTAAAAAATGATCCAAACCAAATTCCTTGAAATCAGAGTAACAGGGGGATCAGGACCTATCCAAACAAACGAAAGCCTACATAGTGTACAAAAAACACAAGTATCTTACGTATATGTATCACATATAGATAAAAATAGAAAAAAGTATCTGTACTTTCGAACATATGAGGACATGCCCCAAACTTCTCATATTAATCCAAAAGCAAAAGGAAGCGAAGCAAAGTAGTTTATGAGACATCGAAGTTAGGGGAAATGATGATGGTACAGTACCTAGCTCTTTCACTGAGCAACGATATGTGACAATTCCATCCGCTTTCGAGTCCCATTTTCTCCGAGAACACGCGTGACCTTAATTCGTTCTCCTTGCTGAAGTGGACGAAGCGTATGCATGCTCTGTCCAGTTGCTCGATGAGTTGCACCTGCAAAACATTCGACACCGTTCTTTTTAACTGCGGTGTTAACTCTTTTTGATCGTTGAACATCGGTAGCTGAAAGATCTATTACCATGTCTGTTTGCGCTTGGTATTGCATAGTCACCATTCCGATGAATACTTGATTGCATTGAATTTCGAAACAACTTTCTACGTCGTTCACGCTGTCGTCCTTGTTTTCATTGCATAAGAGGGAATCTATAAAATGTTTACATTTTTTCAACTTTCAGAAATTGTTGGATAAATTAGAGGTATTAGAGGGGAATTGGGGTTGAAGCATATTTGGAGATTTGAGGATTTGAGGATTTGAGGATTTGAGTATTTCAGAATTTAGAGAATTAGCAATTTTAGTGAATTGAATTGGGGATGTAAGAACTTAGGGACTTGGGAATATAGAGAAAAGGGAGAAATGGAACTAGTAATCTAGGGATTTGGTGGTTGGCAGAATTTCTAATTTAGTAAATTTGGGGTAAACTCGATATCCCAGAAAATTGGTAATTTAGGAAATTGGAAATCTAGAAAATCGGTAATTTAGTCAATCAATAATCTAGGGAATTAGGAATGCAAGTAATCAGAAATCTAAAGAACGTAGAATGCAGATAATCAGAAATCTAGGGAATGTGGAAAATTAATGGCTACGATCCACTTCTATAGACAGAAATATTTGACTATAAATCACCAGTCGAATGAAACTGTCCCAGTATGCCTTTCACTCTGGGATCAAGAACATTTCTAAAGTCCCATGGTAACGGCGTAGGACTTCTATGTGGTGCGTACAAGTGTTTGCTGTCTGCAGGAAGTTCGATGTATATTTTCGACATTTTATCTCCGATGCCTCGTGTCAGAGGTCTATAAGCAAACGCGGTGCAATACGAAGTTAAGCTAGTCCTCTGATAAAAATCCTGCACCTTTTTCCTGAAATATAATCCATTAAAATACAAGGATCGCTGAAACAGCTGAGTTTAAGAAAATTTTTCGTTGAATTGTACCTGTCTGAAGCTGAAAGCGGGCAGAGATCGTGACCGTCCCAAAATTCGATACAAGAATCTAAAATTATATCCGCTGTACCCTGTGTAAGTAATTGCAAACCGCCACCGGTTCGTTCTCTGACCACCACGGCGACCATGTGTGGAAATGGAAACTTTAATTTGGTCGCGATGCTCAGAGACCGTGCAAATTTGATGTCTCGTCGAACCATTTCTGGCTGCTGTAAAAATACCACAACTGTCATACTTTGGTCTACAAACAAACTTACTAATTAACTTTATATCAAACTAGCTGGCATCAAACTACTGGTTCAAATAACAGTACAATTGTGACTTACCACATGTCTGAACGTAGACAATTGTTGCTCCAAATGGAATATGTGCTGCGCTTGATCTTGGAAACCTATCTGTTTCGCTAACTCACACAAGCACCTATACAAATTATATAAGAAACATGAATGAAAAGCTTTATGGACAAAGAGTAGGAGAATACAACAGAAACGTGATATTGTCCCATGATTAGCATTCCCATGAATATACGTATAATAATGCACGTAGAACACGTACACCCATACAGGTGGATTAATATATATAAAACACGGTGGATACATAAAATAACTATGGTTGGACTGACCACATTTGTCCAAGGCTCCCCGATTCGTCGTCTAAATACATCTGTCTTGAACTTTGCATTGTATCTTTTGCTCGATACCCACTCTTATCTTCTATACTGTGATCCTGGTAGCTGACAAATGTGTATGATCAACGTTACTGGTAATTGGACGTGTTATCTTTCGGACTTGTCTTAGGAATATGCATACGATTAACTGGATGCAATTAGCTTGATAATCGGGGGAATTAGTTTGAGTAATGCATTAAAAAAAACAAACGGGAGTGAGCGAAATGTAACGTGATAAAACATAAGCGAAACATTGAAGCAGGGGTTAAAACATACCGTCTGTTGGTGACTGGCACAAGATTTTCGTTATACTGAGCCTCACATGTGACATGACAACAAAATTGCATGTAATGCTCTTGCGTGTCCATGTTACACGTGTTCAATAGAATTGCTAAACCTAAGGGCTTTAACGAGTTCAAATGTTGCCTCCAAGAATGGTCGTCGAATTGCAGACGAAATGGCAAAGCATGATCGTGAGTCAGGTCCAGAACCTCGGCCGTTGAATGAGACATGTCTACAAAATAGAATACCATTTTTCAACAGTTTTTAACAGAAGATGCTTCTTTGCTTTTCTATTACCATGCTGTACGTATGACGTTTTATTCGAGTCTTGTTTGGAATCCTCGGTTTGAGTTTGGCACTGAGGCTCGGAACTTCTGTCTAAACTACCGGTGCTATCAAACGATCAAACTTAGTTGCAATCTTGTAAACTTTGTACTTGTATATCACGCTTATGTATTTACCTCGAAGACGGAGACAAGGTATTGGCGTTCCGTAGAAAAAATACTTTTTCGGCTGTTGGGTTAGGCCACGAGAGAATTCCTTTTTTATCCACACAACACAGTGCCTGGAAAATTCACATCTTTCAGTAATATTCTATTGCATTATGTTACATATCAAAATAATCAATTCTGAAATATACACTTCATTTACCAGCTACAAATTATTTAACCCATCATATGTTTTAGAAAAACCAACTTGTTTGTTGTTCAAAATATTGATAATTTTACCCATATTCTTTGAGCTTTACGCTTCAAGGCAGCGAAATGCCTCCTATACCTCAAAATTGGTTATTCGATATGCAAACTTAATATGCAGTAATTAAACTATTCAGTACCGTGACTGATCCTAGAACGTGTAGAATACTCGCAGACCTCGACATCATATGCTCTTTACCAAAGAGAATCTTGAAAAAATACTCTTTCAATTCCATCCAATTGTACACCACTTCTGGATGACTTGGTCCAGAAATGTCTGCATCCTCAAAAGGATCCACAAACTGAAACAATAGTGCTTCACAAAATTCTCCATATCAAGCAGATTTCACAGTTCTAAAAATATATTAACCTGCAGCTTCTTTGAAGATTGATAAAGTTTAAATAAAGCCTTGAACCGGGCCATACCAAAACAATTCAAGAAGATCCAACAAGTAGGAAATACTAATGGAAGCAAAGGAATGCTGATGGCAATTGGTTGTAGCAAGAACATTTCGTTCCAGTAACCTATACCAAAGTATTCCCAAAGATACAAGTATCGAAATAAATTAACTACTAGCACAATTATTAGAAGAATTGGATAAGCTAATTGTTCGATGCAGCAAATCATTAAGAGGTGCCGTTTGCGATTGTGATACGTGACTGGTCTATCGAGGGCTTGATCCAGAGCCATTCTAAGATTCATCAAGTATGGGGTTTCTTGAAGCTTGTAGATTTTATTCTTTAGCGGTATTCGTGCTTGAGGAGTGGAAAAAATTTCATTGGCACTATGAACCTGTGGGCAGTACACTTCTCTTGCGTGTAATATTGGTCCATCGCCATCCTGTAATTATTACACATCCTTAATGTTTAGTTTTATCCAGTTGATCAAACTTACATTATAAGGGATACAGTATCCAGGAGCTTGTTGTCCAGGTTTCATCACAATAATATCTCCAGCAACCAACAATGCCCAAGGCAAATTAACTATATGGCCATTGCGATAAGTCCATTGCAGTGTTAAACAAGGGGACAATGGACTGCATAAATGTGGATAATTTTCTGGATCCCATTGGCAAATATTCTTTGCCACTGAAACGATCGAACAATGATTTGCATGAAAGGGATTTTAAACTGTACAAAATGTGGACTGAATACCTTCTAATTGGTCAAGAAGAATTCGTACTCTATAAGGAATTTCTTTGTGTCGTAATTTATTATCTGATACGACTAAAATAAAATTTATCACTACTAAAAAACAGACAGTCAGTCCTTCATAAGGCAGTGTAGGGTACCTAAAATGATATATACAATATTATTCCACATTATTTCTCTTTAAACTTTGTCACTTTGAAAATTTTCTTTGAGCTTTCAAATTGTTCTATGGCATCATGTTAGAAACTTGAATACATAATGCTGCTACAAACAACTGTTAGCATTGTGCAGTATTAGTGACTTTAACATATAAAAATAAAGTAATTAACTCATACCATGTATCGTTGGTTGTGAAGGATGCACTAACAAGGATAATGCTATTGATTAAAAGTGCAATTGCTGAAGTCCAACAAAGTGTTGTGTACTGACTACGATGATGTAAAGTATCCTTTAGCCAAGCTTTATATTTTCTGCATATAATATATATAGTATAAAATATAATCTTTTTTTTTCTGCACAGAAATAAGAAAGAAATAAATTACTTGTTTCTCCTGCAATCTTCTTCATATTCCTGTAGAACTCTTTTGATATCACGTTGCAATGTTTCAAGTGCAATATTTGTAGTTAGTCCTAATGGTTCCTCAAATTTATTGTTAGGATTTTCGCTTGTTTTGGAAGTATTATCCTTTACCCCATCACCGTCCATTTTCTACATAATACAGTCATTAAATATTTAATTCATTTTAACTATAGAATTTAATGCTTCATGTGTATTCCCAAAATGGTTATACATATACAAAATATAGTAGTGTATATAATGATTGGTATATTTTTATCTCAAATCGTAATAAATAATAGATGCATATACATCCTTGAAATACAATTGATTAAATAACTAATAACTAGACTACAGATATTCATGCATTTATGATACGTTCAAATGTAGCTAAACCTATATGTAGGTCTATATTTTAGAAGCTTTAATACATCATAAACGCATAAACATTTGTAATCTACTAATAATATCCTTTAGCAAATAACATATATCATTGAAAAGAAATTTATGAAGCAAAGTAAACTTGAACAATATAAGCATAAAGTTTCCAACAATTTATGACATATAATTTCAACTTTGATTACAAAACATGCATTTGTATTTCAAATTTATTCATTTGATGTTACATCTGTAACTACAGTCCACACCATAACATAATGAATAATAAACATAAATTGACCAAAATTGAGCAACATGTTATACTTTGATTATGCCATAAATACAGGTACAGGAGATTCAAATAAATAAGGAGAAGACGATGCAGATACGAATTTATTAATATAAGTCAGCTTTGCATGGCAAAAAGCAAATCAAAACAAACGGAGCTAGGTTAAAATGTATTAACACTTGCATAATATCGATGAACAAATCTATTAATGTACCGTTTATATTGGTTGTACTTGAAGTACAGTTTAATGTTTCAAAGCTCGTTCATATGCGGGATAACTAAAAATAATGGGAAATGTCTCATAATTGCGATTGACCTAAATCAGAACGGAGAATGCATATTCGGATGGATTCACATCACAACACATAAGTTTATCACATGACGCAGTACTGACGACCGCTTGCGCGTACATAGCTTTTTTGTCGTTTTTCCGGCATAGTTTTGTTATGTTGTCTTTTATAACTTGAAAATTGTATACCATATTCTTGTATATCGCAATGCACAAAAGTAATAGGCAAGAAATAACGGAGTGCCTGCACTCGTGTTTATAGTGTTTACTGGCCTGTAACATAACCTCGAAACGATGGATTTATTGTATACTGTAAATAGAAAAGTGACTCCGAAACCTTTTATAAATCAAGAAAGGTATGCAATCGTCTTTTTTATATTTTTTACTATGCTAATCTGGTATTGATTGTATATCAGATGATATTTCATGTATCATAAATATTCAATATTGATGGAAATTTCATTATTTTAATAGATATATTAGCATTTTTTATTTGCTGTTTATTTGGTAGCTCATTTATTAGTTCGTCGTCAGTTTTTCCATGAATTTTAAATATATTTTCAATCACACGTAAGTGCGAGAATGTGTTTCTTAAAATAAAATCCTTTAATGTTTATGCAGTAATCAAATTTTTAGCCTGTATGAAGGACAATCTTTATGCTCACTATCTAGCCGTAATATAGCAGCATTCACTACAACTACGGAATTAGATGATAATAGTGGTAAAACATGGGGATCTCATGTTTACGTCTGCGATTTAAATATGCCTTGGCATACGCACAAGTATGATATTTCTTTAAATAGACTTCATATCTATTCTAGTTGGTTATTAATAACATTAATCAACTAATATTATTCATATCATTAGGGTTTTGTCAAGCAAAAATACTATTACTGCAATAGAATGGGATTTGCCAGGTGATAAATTAGTTATTGCTGATTCCACCGGAAATGTTCAATTATGGATGTTGAAAGATCATGTTCTTAACGATTGGGTGTTAATTGGTTCCACCTGTTTTGTTGGTGAATATATATTAGGTGCAGCTTGGTTTCATAATGGAAAGAAGGTAGTTATAATATTAAAGAATCATCATTAATGAATCCAATGTCTAAGAGAATTATTATTTCAGACTGGCCTTGTAACAGAGAAAAAAGATAGTATTCACTATAGTGAGAAATTTAATCACTTACCTTTTGCTCCTTCTGTCAGACAATTTGGTGGAAGAGCAGCAGAAGGTGTATTAGTTGTATCAACTACGGGTATGGTCGGTGCAGTTATGATTACAAAAGACTTTCAAAACCCTATATGTTCTTCAACGGAAAGTTTAGGCAGCATAAGACATAGGATAACAGCAGTTGATCTGTGTTATGGAAAAAGTATATACATGCTAATTATTAAACTAGTTATTTAAACAAGAATAACATAAAATTTCATAAAATTTTAGATGGCCATATTTTGGTAGCTGTAAGCAGCGGAAATATTTGTTTACCAATTAGATGTTACAGAGTATTAGTTCGCAAAAATGATGATAAATGTACAATTATATCCCAAGCACTTCCAAGTTTCTTTTTACAGGATGGTGTACCAAAAGACAATACATGTAAAGTCTAATAATTTTTTTCTTTTAATATATATTATTAGGCATCCAAATAATCGATAGTTATTTTTTTAGATACAAAAGTAACGCATTTGAAGTTTGTAGTTAGAGAAGATGCTGATTCTTTAGTTGTTGCTGTTAATAGTGACAATGGAGGTATTGTAGAGGTATGGGAATTAAGAGAAAAGTCACAACCAGTTCACAAAATGTTTCAGCCGAAAACATTAGAACCATTTAAAACTATTGTGGTAGGTTCAAATTAAATAATGTAGTGAACTATATCATTATATGTATCTGTATCTATAGGTTATATGTTATAGTATCATGTTCTTTGTGCATCCTTATAGGTGTGGCAGCATCAATCACAATATCATTGTCAGTCCCCTATAGCAGCAATAGCAACTACAAAATTACCTATAGTCACAACATCGCCTCTTCCAAGTTACGTTATAGTAGCTTTGGCAGATTCGTCTGTGCATTGTTTAAGCCGCGATTGCCTAAAAGAAATAGCCTTATCGTTCTTAAATATGGCATGGAGACCAGAGGAACCGAATAGTAAATATTTTAAAAGTTCGGTTTCTGTAACAAGCATAGATCTATCATGGTTAGGTTGCGTGCTTTTAGTATGTGATACCCGTGGAAATTTATACTTATACAAACTACTACCTGATGGAGGTAATTATTCTTTCTCTAATAACAAGTAGGAAGGAGCTAAACAATCTTCTTTACAGGACCATCACTAACCCTAAGTTACGCTTGTACATTGTTGGAATATTGTTTAATAACAGGACTAGACTGGTTAGATATACTTTTATGTCTAAGATCATCGATGATCGAGCCACTATGTGAACGACTGGACGTTTCATTTAACAGACAATTACAACCAATACAACAATACCATTACATTCAGTTTCTTTGTATAAAAACGTCGTTATACAGGTTTGGTGCTACACAGAAACAAAGTACGAGATACAATGTACAGAGTTAAACAAGAAATTTATTTTTAGAATGTTAGTATCAGGACAGAGCAAAGCAGCAGATCTGTCGTCGTTGCTTATGATACATTCGGTAGCAACAGCCTTTAAATCCTTGCTACGACCGTCTGATTTAATTTCCCACGATAAGGGACCAGCTGAAAGTTTAGCAGCGGTGATCAATGACGCGATCGCTGACGTAGATAAGGTACAAGCAATACTTAACTTCAAAAAAGAGAAGTGAATAGCCAAGTAATTAACATTCCGTTGTCAGGTACTTTTGCATCTCGACCCTAAAGAATTTACCGTCGAACCAAGCACGCTTCAGTCGTTACAGCAATTAATTCAGTGGGTTGCCGATTTGGCACTGAATCTCCTAGCTCGTCTACCGGAACAACGACTGCAAATGAAGTCCGGAGGCGTTAGTATTGAAACGAATTAACGATATCGATTATCTAAATCATTACAGTTGCTTTTTTTTTATTCAGTACGAACTATTGAAGGATCATAAGGCTTTGAATACTCTGAGGGAATTGCTCGTAATCATAAGAATATGGGGTTTATTGCGACCTTCGTGTCTACCAGTATTTCTCCGTAGCGCTGATAATCTCGATGTCTTGGCCTTGTTGTTCCGTTTATTATCAAAACTGGTTCAACCAAACGGAGACACTCAGGCTCAACAGATAGATGATGGCTTAATCGGTAAGCTAAATGGAAAAAGTCATTTACTTGTAATAATTTATTAGAGTGATTGGTATAATCACATTGGTGAAAGCAACATTTAGAATGTAAAAACAAGTATTGTCTCACAGATTCGTTTCTGCCGATTTTTTTTTATTTACAAATGTTTGTAAGTTTGCCACCTCTTATGCGTATAAAATGTAAATTAATAGGAGGCATCATGAACCGTTGTTGACTAATCGTTTGAACTTTATCGTAATACGTTGCTTATTGAGGAAGTAAGATAAAATACCACTTCCTCGGCGGAAATTCCAGATTTTTTCATTCGTTCTATGAACTGCATCACTGGTTGTTGAAGTGCCGTAAAAAGTGTTATTATTTTAAAATGAGCGAGAAACTAGCGGCGAAACATACGAATTCGTTAGCCCTAACGAAGCATAAGTTACTGCAGCAAGAGAGTGGAACAAAGAGTTATTGTTGTCCGTGTACGAGACCTCACAAGCTCGCGCTATTTTGCATCGTATCGTGCTGCATCTTCCTTTTATACTGGATCGTAATAACGCCTCTGTTAATCAGTCACCCGGACGTTTTGGGACCCAAACCGTGGTCCAACGTTTGGTTCATCGCGTACTGGATAGGGGCATTTTTAATCTGGCTCTTTATTATGGTTTGCCTGGTGCTGCTGTGGAGGTGCTATGGTCCTAAACACAGCGAGGATGTGAAACTGCAAAAGTATGGCACGAATGGTACCCCGAAATCGGTGTCCTTTAACGAGGACGTGAAATTGGATATCAAACAAGAAGATGGACGTCTGAGCTCTGAAAGCACTGTTGAGAAGAAAGATATCTCAAACGATAAAGTTAAGAAACATAGAGATCTCCCGCCTCTGGTGATACATCGTCGGAATTTGGGGAACGATGCCGAATGTGCGGGTTCTGTGAATATCGAAGAGGACGACGGAGATGTGCAGTCAAAACGTGGTAGTCAGAAAGAGCAGAGGGAGTCTATGAAAAGTTACTTGAAACTAGTGACAGTCACACCGCAGGACGAAACAGATAAAACTCCGAAGGCGTTGCTTTCACCCAGAGAACTATTTTTCATTGATCTCATTAGAGAAGCAGAGAAAGCTGAACAGAATAAGGGTGCAAACGTAGAGAGGAAACATTTTTTTCCGAACGATTTTCTTGAGAAAGAAAGGGACGCCATTTCGAGGGAAAAGGCTGAACCTTCAACGAGTGAACAACGTGAAGCAACATACTTTATTGCGGACGTAGAAAGTCCGAGAAGTGAAAAAGCAGAAGTATATTTGGAGATACAACCAGAGCCAGAAGTAAAAGAGTGGAGTGTGAATTTAAATAAAGAGAAACCAGTACTGCAATTAAAGAATGATGCTAAGGACGAGAACACTGAGAAGAAAGTTGTCTTATTCGAAGTTTAACTGAAAACGTTTTTCTAGTTACATTAAAACTTTATTTTTTAATAATATAAGGAATATCGTTAAGTATCGTATAGTGAATAGTGATTAAAATAATTTAATTATGGAAAAATGAAGAAATCTGGGATTCACAAAAAATTGAGAAGTAATTTTAATTAAGCATTGATGACTTTCTTCCAGATGATTGTTGCCTGTTACCAAATCAAATTATGATACCACAATTGCACCAAGGCAGTAGCATAATGGCTATAGCTACACCCATACTTTTTTATCAGAGTTTCCCATTACAGGTAAAGACTAACTATAATTTACTTTTAATTCTGTAGCCAAGTATCCATTCAGCAGATTTCTCCGGTCTCCAAATTTCATCTCTTCAGAATCCTCAAGTAAAATTACTTGAGGAACGTATGTAAAATTTGTTAAGACTTTCAAGCGTTAAAATGTAGAAATGGGTACTTGTTTGTCTACGCAGACATTAAACACATGATTACTTGTAATTATTTAATTACAGCTGGAATATGGCATAGAACCTGAACAACTATTATTTGTACCTGAACTTAATCCAGTGGAAGGTTGTATGCACACTGGCCAGATTGTAGATGGTATCAGACACCTATATCTTGGGAAACAACCACTTCTTGTTAAGCAATGTACCAGGTATAAAAAGGAAAAAGCAATATTGATTCATAGTTTTATTATGATTGTGATGTTTTATAATTTGTTGACAAAATTTAGGTGTGGCGGAAAAGCTCAAGTTCAGAACATGACGAGAACAGCCGCCATTAGAGCATGGGATCAGCGATGGGTACGAGCATGTCGTTGTGGTGGTATTTGGAGAATTCATAAAACATGTCCATAAATCATTTGCTGGAAGCTGTGCATTAATGAATTTTATGTTACAACAATTGTACTTGCAATTTTGTAAATTGTAAAACAAATAACATTAAACGATTTTTTAAATTTAACATACAATCGAACAACGATCTTAATCTAAAGAAACTTATTAAATGGTACAAATTTGATTATTTATTATGCATGTAACGATTGTAAATGTTTATTTTTTTTAACGTTTTTTTTTTTAATTTTGCATCTAGTAAAAACTTTTATCGAGCAATGTGTAAAAATTATTTGTATCTTTTTATATCGAACGAATGTATCAAGGTGTACAAAAGAAATATTTGTAATCGCTATTTGCTACAATTTATTTTACAGGATCTCGATAATAAACTTTATAAATTATACCGTGTCTTCGACGAAATGTTCAATTAATAATCAAATATTTTATATGTACAATCTAGTTACGCTATTTTGTAATTACAGAGATCCTGAATACATTAAACGAAAAACAAAAATTATGAAATGTCTTTCCCGTTGTATCATTTGCGTCAAATATTAATGATCATGGAAAGTTTATTTGACATAAGATACTCTTTCACAATTCATTATACATAAATAATTGCTTGTTAATGACTCTCCCCTTCTTTACTGGCTACTTTCTTGAATTCTTTCATATTTGTTGTTGAAATCGGTGAACCAAACACAGTTATGTGATCGATTCTCGTTGTCTCACTACCACTCTGATTGTCTTTCACAAAGATCTGTAGGTTTTGCACATTTTGAAACTTAACATAGCGCAAAGGAATTGGATTACCTTCTTCGATATCTTTTGCCGATAAGCTGCATAGTACAATAACGAAGTTAGAACGAAAATTCAATAAGTTAATCCTCTATAAAAGAATAGATTCTTACGTTAAATCCTGAATGCACGTATTCGAGTCTGCCATGTCAAAGTCAATTGTTCTAGGTTGGTTAATATATAATTTGATATTTTTTGGTCCATTATCTTTGGGAGCTTTGATCTTTAAAGAATGTACTTTGACTACTTGAGAAAATGCAATGCATAATATCAGCTGCTCATCACAATCGCTTTCCAGGTATCCTTCATCTGCACTCAGACATTGCAAAAAGTTGTGTTCATCAGATTCATTTAAACACTCGCATTGTGTCTTGGTAATAAATGGAGATAAGTCCATCTGCAAAATATATGATTATAAATCTCTGAAACACTTTTAGAAAGTACTCATTGCTTACAGCTTTATATGCAATAAAGTTGGGTACGAACATCCAGGGAATTATGTGTAAACATGAATGAAGTTATCTAGATGAAATGTAAGTTCTTTACATTTTGATACATATGCATTTCATGTATGTTACTAACAATACATAGAAACAAGAATCTGAGCAATATTTACTAAAAACTATAAAATCATAAACACATGCAATTGACAGAAAAATGTAATGTACACATTGCATGTTTAAATAAGATTGTTTTAATGAAGTGTTATGATAGTGTTAATATCCACTGAAACAAAGTTACCACAACTTTCTCATTGGTACTTTTCTGAAGTACAGAACTGCAGCAAGTAATATCATTTCAATGATAAATTATCACTATTTCGTACATGTCCAGATATTGAACTCTCAGTATCTTCAGAGTCTCCACTGCCATAAAATTGTAGAATTTTTGATTCTAGTTCAGCAGGGTTGGGTTCATTATACACTCCCACTTTTTTTTGGTTGCGGTAAAATAAAAATGTGGGCACTCCATCTACTGCAATCCTTGTAGTAGTTGTTATACACTTGTCTACATCGACTTTAAGAAACACTGCATTTGAATATTTCACTGATAGCTGCTCAACTACTGGAGCAATTATGTCGCAAAGGCCACACCTGCAAATTATATTAACATTAGAATATATTTGTAAACAACATGTTTTAAGCAAGCGTTACATAGATTACAATTACAAATACAAATGATTTGAATCATTATCAATATCATGATGTACGCTGCAAATTATTTTGGAGTATTTAATACAGGAGAAGTAAGAAAGTTTAAAAATGAAGGAGATCAAATTGTATTTCTGTAATATGTTATTATCTGTGTACGTAGCATTAATTGTAACTAGGATGAAACGATTAGAGAAAGAATGAAACTTAGATGTTCTGTAAGATGCAACTGTGCAACAATTTCACAATGTATAAACTACCACTGTAATCATAAACATCTCACCATGATGCTGTAAAATCTACTACAACCAATTTTGAACCAGCAAGAGCTATTTCCTCCCAAAAATGACTATCGTCGTTAATTACTCGCACTGATCCCATTATTTCTCTCGGTTGCTCTAATACAACATGAATAAAGAAAACATGCACAAAATACGTATCTCTAAATATTGAATGACTGGCACTTTCAATGCACGGAACCGGGTATTCAAATACCTTCAGCTTTATGTCAAATTTTCATTGCAATATTTTCAGACTACTGATTGGGTGAGCAGCTTCGACGAGCAGGATAATTGGACAAAAATGAGGATGCGGTTTGCGACGAGACGTACATGGAAATTCAGCTTTAGTTTAACGCGCCAAGTATGGAGACCATCAAAGTGCAACGAAGGAGCAGAGCAGTATTTTTCATTAAATGTACGAGAAGGGACAATTTGGTGAGTTGAAAATAGTATTTATTTACAAAAAATTGTTATCGACTATTTGTCATTTTGTTTGTTAGTTTTATTTAACATCTATTTATTGAGAAATATGTTGACTGTGCCGTACAATTCGAACTGACCAAACTGTACATACTTAATATAAATTCAAATATTAATGCTGACTTTAATATTGACTGTGTTTAAACTTATCTTAACGCGATTGAATTATATTAATTTTATTAATTACGATTATGACTTTGATTTAATTAAATCTCCTCTGGTAAATTTCATAAGGAAGTCAATGAATAATAAAAGGTTTAATCCAGCAAGATGGACATCTCCCCTCCAGATGCGTATTTTCTTCCCAAGAAAATTTTACAGATCGGACAGTAATGCGACGTGTCTTTGAATTTAGTTGTGAGATATGGTATCATACACAGGCTACAATAAACTTTGCTATTATTTCAGAAGTTAAAATTTGATTTTACGGTACTAACCAACTGGGAAATAAACTGGCAGCTATAACATGCGTTACAGTGCTATTGTGATGATAAGTGTCCGTAATGATATAACACAAACAATTTGGACACGTCATTTTATAGGGATGTTTTTCGAAATCAGTATGTTCTGTGGATAAAACATTTTGTTACCGTATTCCTAACCTTTGTACCAAGATAACTAGGATAATCTTAATTTAAATCTACTCGCCTCTTGTTACCCGAGGATATTTTCGTGAAACTCCACTATATCGTTTCTTGCAAGCTTTTATGATCTTTTTTATGTTAAACTTCAGGTTGAAACGACTTTTACCGCTTATTTGTACATTTCTCGGTAAATAATGTATAACAGCGTTCGTTGGATCGTTGGAAGCGGGAAAAATGTCTTAAAATAAGAGTTGTGTAATTATGTACATCGCGCAATTAATTTAACGATGTACCTTACGCTTTGAAAATTTTCACGCAAAGTAATTTGGGAAATAGTTTCATTTACACGTACGTAGAATATCATTGTGTTTCTTCGAGTCTTCATCCATCTCGTAAATCAATTATGTTCAGTATTTAATTCTAAATATTAATATTAACATCTTGATTTTCACTCTCAAATTACCAGTCCGATATTCCTTCGATCCATGATAATTTCACAGCGAATAAAAAAAGGAAATAATTTTTGTCGCGTTAAATAGAATTGCGTCAGCCGTTCAGACAAACAATTGTTTCGTGATTGCTCGAGAAAACGTATTACCGAATATATTCATTTCGAACAGCAATTTTAACCTTTTAACTGTCGTCCATGCTGTGCGTTTATCCTAAATTGTTCGACCAATATTCAGCGATAAATAACGTACAATTCATTGAAGCTATTCTTTGAATTCGACGATTTTAAATAATCGAACGCAAGTTACGCGCAGAATTGCATACTTATGTAGAACGCGTGAATTATTATTGAAAATAATACTGTATGATAATACATTCGTTTTTATTTTAGTATTTTGTCAATGTTTTATTCAAAAGCGTGTTATTTTAACGTTTTATTGTATTTTTAACTTTGTAGATTTGTGGATTGGTGGATTGGTGGATTGGTGGATTGGTGAATTGGTGGATTAGTGAATTGGTGGATTGGTGGATTGATGGATTGGTGGATTGGTGGATTGGTATATAGGTGGATTTGATTTTAAATAATCGAACGCAAGTTACGCGCAGAATTGCATACTTATGTAGAACGCGTGAATTATTATTGAAAATAATACTGTATGATAATACATTCGTTTTTATTTTAGTATTTTGTCAATGTTTTATTCAAAAGCGTGTTATTTTAACGTTTTATTGTATTTTTAACTTTGTAGATTTTTAGATTGGTGGATTGGTGGATTGGTGGATTGATGGATTGGTGGATTGGTATATTTGATAGACTTGTAGATTGATGGATTGGTGGATTGATAGACTTGTAGATTGATGGATTGGTGGATTGATAGACTTGTAGATTGATGGATTGGTGGATTGATAGACTTGTAGATTGATGGATTGGTGGATTGATAGACTTGTAGATTGATGGATTGGTGGATTGATAGACTTGTAGATTGATGGATTGGTGGATTGATAGACTTGTAGATTGATGGATTGGTGGATTGATAGACTTGTAGATTGATGGATTGGTGGATTGATAGACTTGTAGATTGATGGATTGGTGGATTGATAGACTTGTAGATTGATGGATTGGTGGATTGATAGACTTGTAGATTGATGGATTGGTGGATTGATAGACTTGTAGATTGATGGATTGGTGGATTGATAGACTTGTAGATTGATGGATTGGTGGATTGATAGACTTGTAGATTGATGGATTGGTGGATTGATAGACTTGTAGATTGGTAAATTAACAGATTGGTGAACTGATAAATAGATGAATTGATAGACTGGTAGACTGATATAGTGGTATATTCATACATTGCTAGATTAATACATTGGTAGATTGATACAGTGGTAGGTTGATACAGTAATATGTATATTGATACATTGCTAGATTGATACAGTGGTAGGTTGATACATTGCTAGATTAATACATTGGTAGATAGATATAGTGGTAGATTTATATATTGCTAGATTAATACATTGGTAGATTGATATATTAATAGATTGATATATTGGTAGATTGATATAATGTTAGATTTATACATTGGTAGATAGATATATTAATAGATTGATATATTGGTAGATAGATATAGTGGTAGATTTATATATTGCTAGATTAATACATTGGTAGAGTGATATATTAATAGATTGATACATTGGTAGATTGATATAATGTTAGATTGATACATTGGTAGATTGACAGATAGATAGATTGATACATCGATAGATTACTAGTTCAATAAATGATTAAATTGTTATAACACTTTCCAAGTTTGTACAGTTCCAAATTTCTAAATCGTCAATAATTGTTACACTCGCAATGAACGTTCCCTTAATTTTTTAAACTGTTCACTTCTACCCCGTACCCTGATTATTGAACGGGAAGTTGTATTATCAGTTAGGAGAGACAGGAAGATGAGTGGCGACGATAGTAGAAAATTCGCACAGACCCAGCTGAATAGGAAAGGAAGCGTGGGCCGGTACAGTTAGGTCGGAAAACGACGAAACGGCACCATTGTCTGACGAAGCTGATTGTCAAACCGTTGGGATAATGTGGCTTTCAAAGGAAGCTTGATACTTGACCTCGTAATAATCAATGCTCGACTCACCTAGCGGGTTAATTTTGCTAACACTCGTCGAAATTGGCGCCTTCACCAGAGTCCCTGGGAATCAATTAGGTAGAGAATTGTCGTTCGATGAAGTAGGTCTCTACTAACTGAAGCTCCAGCAATTTTCTCGAAGGTTTCTCCAAACAGGAAATCATTGTACGATTAAATGATAAAAGTTGACTCTTTGATCCTTACTTCGTTCAACGTCAATTAATTTTCGATTGTTGTGCCAGAATTACTTGTTCGAGCGGTCTCTAAGTCTGTCACGTGTAAATGTGGTGTATACATGCTTTAGTATAAAACATTAATATAAATGATTTAATGTAAAGTATTAGTATAAATTATTTAATATAAAACACTAGTATAAATGGTTCAGTACAAAACATTAATATAAATGATTTAATATAAAACACCAGTACAAAATATTCGGTATAAAGTGTTAGTACCATTGTTTCAATATAAAGCATTATTATAAATAATTTAGTACAGAATATTTAAAATGAATGGTTCAGTATGAAGTATTATTATAAATGGTCCACATAATATTATAACATTTTTTATAAAATAAAATTGTCACCAAATAATGAAGCTTACACCTCTTAATAATTTAAGAAACACCAAAAAATTCTGTACGCTAACTTCGCTTTCTGCTTTCAGGTCACATCAGCGCAGAACGGGTGTCCAATAAATATCCGAGGAGCGAGGAGTCTCATCGGCATCCTAGTTAGAGCAGGTAAATAAATCAGGTGATATAAGAAAATTAAAGTTACATGGATGTATTGAATACGTAGAGGGTGGTATCCGGCTAAGAGAAAACCATTGTCTGGGGAACGTGAACACTATTTGCTGGTAAAGTAGATTAGGTTGGTATTGATAGAGAGAAAGAGAGAGTTAGGAGGATGAGGATAAGAGAGCGTGTAGAGGAGAGGAAGGAAGAGCGTGTAAAAGGAGGAGAGAGAAACGAAGGAAGATGACGAGAAGAGAGGGTTGAGAGAACGGTTGTGTTCTCAGAGAAAGGCCAATATAGACGCTCGAGATGGGATATAGCAATAGAATTTCGCTTACGAGGTATAACCGCGTTAGCCGATGCCCTTTGTTGTATCAGTGCGCAATTGCCTTAAGTTCTGATCTTGTCCGTTATTGATGTTCGAGAGGCCGGTGAAACCTCCGACAGTATACTAAGAGTTTCTATTCGCCTTTAACCATTTCTCCGTCGACTTTGGTCAGTTCGATGAATTTTACCTCCTTTCACCCCGGACAATGCTCGGTCAATCAAATCTCTCTGCACGGATACCATTTGACTAGTACTGCAATCAAAAACACACTTATTTGTAGCCTAATATGGGAGCACTGAGCTTTTAAGCTTGCATCAACACCCTTTATTTCTTGAAAGCTGTAGAGAGATTAACATGGTATCTTTCCGATGATTTTGGTGGGAAGTAAAAGTTTAGTTTGTGGACTTCTAGTTCATAGATTTCCAAGCAATTGTTTCCACCAGTGAAATATTGTGAGTGAATAATTGAATTTTAGAAATCACTTGAAGTGTTGCTTCACGATATTCCAGTACACATTTCTGCGAATATCTGATGATAGCCCGGTATTCTAACAATGAATTCGCATTGAGTTTCGTACAGTAGTATTAATATTTCAGTGCGTTTCATATTTAACATTATAATCTTCAGCCGTAATGTAGCGTATAATAGTAATAGGGTTTAGTGTTGCAACAATGAAGCCAAATAGATTTTCGTATGTACGGTATCTCATTTAATACTGCAATTACGTTCCGTACGGTCTTTTAAACCGCGAATGAATCGTTTGAATATTAATGATACACAATTTGGTATCCTTCAAATTTTTCGAAGAATATTTTCATCAATGACCGTTTAATCACAGTCGTAGTAAAATCTCCGAGGCACCGATCGAAATAAAATATGAATTTAAGCTACACGACGAAAAGATACTTTGAAGCGACTGAAAAAGAGAAAATAACCGGAGAAAATCGTCCTACATGAAAGAAGAAACGGTCGAAACGTGGAAATCTCTTCGGCAGGTCGACGAGCTGAACGAAAAGAGCCTTGCAAACGCAGAGATTTTTATACGAGCGATAGCTCGGCTCGAAAACTTTTTCATTCGACAAATGGCGCGAATCAGGCCGTTGGTGCATACTAAATTTACTTTTTTTACGGTTAAGTGCAGCTTTTCACTCGGCTATTTAATTAGCCTACTGAATGGCGGATTCAGATGTATTAAAGACACGTCCAACGTGGAAACATTCGAGTCTTTAGCCTCGGTATCGAATATTATTTGCATCGTTCAATGTTTGCTTAAATCGTTCTTTCTTGGGGAAAGATGACTTTTCAGGGAAATGTGTCAATTGCTTTTGGAATGGAGAATTAAATGTTTGAGGGTTTTTATGAAATGGGGGGATTTGGGGAATTTCGGGTGGGGTTGGGAAGTTGAGGATGTGGCGGAGATTTGGTAGTTTGGAGATTTGAGTATTTGGTCTTTTAGGAATTTAGGAACTTTAGAGTTTAAGAATATTGTAATTTAGGAATTTTGTAGTTTAGGAATTTTGTAATTTAGGAATATTGTAATTGAGGGGTTTTGTAATTTTGGAGTTTTGTAATTTAGGAATATTGTAATTTAGGAGTTTTGTAATTTAGGAATATTGTAATTTAGGAATTTTGTAATTCAAGAATATTGTAACTTAGGAATTTTGTAATTTAAGAATATTGTAACTTAGGAATATTGTAATTTAGGAATATTGTAATTTAAAAATATTGTAATTTAGGAATACTATAATTTAGGAATTTTGTAATATAGAAGTATTGTAATTTAGGAATTTTGTAATTTAGGAATATTGTAATTTAAGAATATTGTAATTTAGGAATACTATAATTTAGGAATTTTGTAATTTAGAAGTATTGTAATTTAGGAATTTTGTAATTTAAGAATATTGTAATTTAGGAGTATTGTAATTTAGGAATATTGTAATTTAAGAATATTGTAATTTAAGAATATTGTAATATAAGAATATTGTAATCTAAGAATATTGTAATCTAAGAATATTGTAATTTAGGAATATTGTAATTTAAGAATATTGTAATTTAGGAACATTGCAATTTAGGAATTTTGCAATGTAGAAGTTTGGTAATTTGAGAATTCAGCAATCAATCATTTGTTAATTTAGTAATATTGTAATTTAGGAATTTTGCAATTTAGAAATTTGGAAATTCAGAAGTTTAAAAACTTGGGTATCTAATCACTCATTTGGTAATTCAAGAATTTAACAATTCAGAAATATTGTCATTTAGAAGTTTAAGAACCTTGTTATCTAAAAATCAATCCTTTGATAATTTATAAGAATTTGTCAATCTAGAAATATTGTTATTTAGAAGTTTAAAAACCTTGTTATCTAAAAATCAATCCTTTGATAATTTATAAGAATTTGTCAATTTAGAAATATTGTCATTTAGAAGCTTAAGAACTTTGTTATCTAAAAATCAATCCTTTTCTAATTTATAAGAATTTAACAATTCAGAAATGTTGTCACTTAGAAGTTTAAGAACCTTATCACCTAAAAATCAATCCTTCTCTAATTTATAAGAATTTAACAATTCAGAAATGTTGTCACTTAGAAGTTTAAGAACCTTATCACCTAAAAACCAATCCTTCTCTAATTTAAAACCAATCCACCTTACAAATATCATAATTTTCACAACATCCTAATTTTCCACTTCACGAACCTAATCTAAGAGTTCAATATTATAATTCCTTTTAATAATTCCAAAACTCACTAACCCATTAAACAATTGAAAAATAAATAAACGTGTGTTTTAAAATATAGAGAAAGATAAAGAATAAAGGTCAAAACGAGATGTAGTGAACGTTTCATGGATTTTAGTATCGCAATTATATCGAGGCAGGTTAGAGTCGGAGATTGAGTTGATGCTCATAACTCTTGCTGGTCGTAACGTTCAACTGCAGACTGCTCAGTCCTGCATTTCATAGGCCGCCAGATGTTACGTACCTACATATCAGCAGGTACCACTTCACGTGCGCATACGTATTCATTACTAAATTACGCCCACAATGTGGTTCTGTGCTACAGAATCGAGTTGCGACCGCAAATCGTCGATAACGAAAACAACGTTGGTTTTTTAAGCTTTCATTGAGTGACAGATTTTCTCGCTCTTTAATATGGTTAAACATATGAATAAAACCTCTTTACATTGCATATGAAATTAGTGTATGAGGAAATTATTAATCAAGATATTCATTTAATTATTTTCGTGAAATTAAAAGTGTTATAACATTATAACGTTTCACAAAATTAAAGTGTTGTAACATAAAGATAATAACGAGATTAATTTTCTGAGTTGTTGCAATTATAAAAAAAATATTATCTTGATATATCATCTTCTGACAAAAGTTCTTCTAAAAATAATTATGTGAATACACTTAGTTTGTCAATTTTCTAATTTTTCAATCTTTATGTATTATATTTTTTGTTGTAGGTTTTGAAATTTTTTAATTCTGTAATTTCTAAATTGTCAAATTCTCCAAATCCTCAAATTCTCTAATTCCTCGATTCTCTAATTTCCTGATTGTCTAATTCCCCGATTCTCTGATTCCCCGTTTCTATAATTCCTCGATTCCCTAATTCCCCAATTCACTAATTCCCCAATTCGCTAGTTCCCGATTCCCTAATTCCCCGATTCCCTAATTCCCCGATTCCCTAATCCCCCGATTCCCTAATTCCCCAAATCTCTAATTCCCCGATTCCCTAATCCCCCGATTCCCTAATTTCCCGATTCCCTAATCCCCCGATTCCCTAATTTCCCGATTCCCTAATCCCCCGATTCCCTAATTTCCCGATTCCCTAATCCCCCGATTCCCTAATTTCCCGATTCCCTAATCCCCCGATTCCCTAATTCCCCAAATCTCTAATTCCCCGATTCCCTAATCCCCCGATTCCCTAATTCCCCAAATCTCTAATTCCCCGATTCCCTAATTCCCCAATTCGCTAATTCCCCGATTCCCTAATTCCCCAATTCGCTAATTCCCCGATTCCCTAATTCCCCGATTCCCTAATTTCCCAATTCCCTAATTCCCCGATTCGAATTCCCCAATTCGCTAATTCCCCGATTCCCTAATTCCCCAATTCGCTAATTCCCCGATTCCCTAATTCCCCAATTCGCTAATTCCCCGATTCCCTAATTCCCCAATTCGCTAATTCCCCGATTCCCTAATTCCCCAATTCGCTAATTCCCCGATTCCCTAATTCCTCGATTCCCTAATTTCCCAATTCCCTAATTTCCCAATTCCCTATTCCCCCGATTCCCTAATCCCCCGATTCCCTAATTTCCCAATTTCCCAAATTTCTAAACCCCTGAATCTCCAAAACCTTCAACTTTCAATTAAATTATTCACAACTGAAATATTTGACGAAACACAAAAATATATCAGGCACAAAAATGTATACAAGTGTTAAAACAGCAAAATCGATTTGGATTAGCGCACGTACGAACGCGATAACGAGACGAAAGCGAAGATAAAGCGGAAAGCAGAAGAGGGATGCACATAGAAGGTGTTGCGATGACACCTAATTAAATACAGCATTATGCTCCAATATCGAACTGTCTAGCATTTCTATTCTGGTTCCCAGTTTAACCTAAAATGCCAGATAAGACGGCATGAAGTTAGAGGTACAGAATTAGCAGTAGTTCCCTCGGGATCTCGGTGTGTGCGCGTGTAACCTAACGGTGTTCTCTACTTTGAATGTACTTCAATTACAACATTCCGACTTCCGGGATTCTACATTTCTACTTATTCAGGAAATGCACCGTGAAATTACAATTTCTGTATACACTCGCATAGAAGTGAATTCTATGAACATATATAATAACGAAACTCGATGTGAGCGCGGATCAAACTCAACAATTGTTTCGACCGGCTTTTGAAAACCAATAGCTACGAAACATTGTAAAATTTTGCGAAACATTGTAAAAACTTGCGAGAGCGTTTTGAACAACTCTGGAATGCGTTATTATATTTTCGAATACAAATATAAATAAATTGTATAATTCTGTAAAGTTCATAGTGTCAAGTGTAACTTAATTTTGCGAATACATTGTCAATCGTCGATGTTAAACTGTAATTAGTATTAGATAGATTAGAAATAGTGTGACAAGTTAAAGCTATGTATAGTTATGTCAAATTATTGATGTACTTTGGTCATTGAATTTGGACCACAGTTTCACTCATATGCCTATAATTGTCACATGTGGAAAATTGTCTTAGGCCACGCAAAATACATTGTCAATCGTCGATGTTAAACTATAATTAGTATTTCATAGATTAAAAATAGTGTGACAAGTTAAAGCTATGTATAGTTATGTCAAATTATTAATGTACTTTGGTCATTGAATTTGGACCACAATTTCACTCATATGCCTATAATTGTCACATGTGGAAAATTGTCTTGGACCATGCAAAATACATTGTCAACCACCGATATTAGACTGTAATTAGTATTTGATAGATAAGAAACAGTGTTACAAGTTCATAGTTAAAGCCAAAAATAATTGTATCAAAGTTTGAACATTGTTGATGTACTCTGGTCACAATTTCACATATGTGGTCACAATTGTCACATATGAAAAATTGTCTTAGGCCACGCAAAATACATTGTCAGTCACCAATATTAGACTGTAATTAGTATTTGATAGATAAGAAATAGTGTGACAAGTTCACAGTAAAAGCCACAAATAATTGTATCAAAGTTTTAACATTGTTGATGTACTCTGGTCACAATTTCACATATGTGGTCATAATTGTCACATATGGAAAATTGTCTTAGGCCATGCAAAATACATTGTCAGTCACCAATATTAGACTGTAATTAGTATTTGATAGATAAGAAATAGTGTGACAAGTTCACAGTTAAAGCCAAAAATAATTGTATCAAAGTTTTAACATTGTGATGTGGCCATCGAATGAGGACTACATAAAGTTTGACTTTAATGGCCATAATTAAGTTATTTATGGAAAATTGTCTTGGGTCACGCAAAATTATTACACGAATATCTAAATATGTTGATAACTATATATAGCAACTGATTTGTTACTGTTGATAATAAGAAATTGTGTCATATTTGTATTATGTCATATGTGTATTATGTCATATGTGTACTATATGTCATATGTGTATTATATGTGTATATGAGTGATTGAGGGTTGTGTGAGCCTGTCAGGCTTGAATAGTGTAAGGTGAAATTTGAACGTCATAGAAAATATCTGCCTACTTAGAGGACTAGTTTATAACTCTCTAAACTCATGTGAGTTGAAAAGAAATAGACATTTTGAAAAATAAAGATATAACTCATATGAAGCAATTAGAAAGGTACCACAACAAAGGGTAGAAACACAAGATATTAACATGTGTTAATAATCATATGTGGAATA